GGTACACAAGTTTCTCCTTTTTTTTTTTTTTTTTTTTAGGTTTACAATCGAGTGGCTGATGAAATCGTCTTACCAATGAATGAGAGACTGGAGCGTCTTGTAAGTCACTGTGGTGTAGTGACGGGGACCATCTTTGCCCTTTTTGTGGTAGCTAGTTTTTTATTTCTCCTTTTCCTGACATGGAATACCCCGGACTCCCTGATTGACATTGCGGTTGATGCCACCGGGCCAGAAGGAGCCTGGTCACGGAAATCTAACTGTAAAAAATCACGGAAAAAGATAACCATTGCAGACGGAGAAAACTAATTTAAGTGATTTTTTATTTCCAATCCTCAGACTGTAACTTTTTAAAAGTATTTTCAGTAGATTCGCTGCCTACAAACCAACAAGGTGTTTTCTTAACAGGATACTTCCTCTTCCTGTATTTTACTTCATGCACTCCTCCGGGGTATAGTAAGCCGCATCTCCTCTTACTCCTGAATGTCTCTGTATGTGGATTATCCGCCTTCTATTGCACTCCTTTATGCTGCCTATAATAACGGTCTTTTTTGTGTGTCCTAGTCCTACTTACAGTGCTAACTGTGGAACTGCTGAAGCTCTGAGGACTGAAACGCACCTTTGCGATAGGGTGTGTTGTGGTAACGAATAAGTCAACATTTCGGTTAACGCAACACACATTATCCCTGTTGGCATGTTGCCGTGTCATTAGTTTTAAATGGCCCACCAGCTGACTAAGGCATCACAGCTCCATCGCACATGTTTTTCAGCATATCATGACGCTTGGAAAGACACTACTGTGCGTTTTGGCGTGCTGTTTCAGGAAAAATGCTGCTTATCTGTGTTTTGTTTTTCTTTCTGTTTGGCCATTCTTGTGTGTTACCATCTCATTCAAAATCACGTTAACGCAGGATACATGTATTAACGAGACGCACAAGAATCGCAAAGTGTGAATCCAGCCTAAAGAACAAAAAAAGCACAAGCTCTGATTTTTTTTTTTTTCTTTTTCTATTTAATAGTGGATTGTTTGTAAAAGGCAATGATTCCATAACTTTTAGCAGTATAAGTTTTTAATGTTTTAAAAAAAAAGGTGGAGCTGGAAACCTAACATTTTGAATACACACACACACACATTAAAGGGTTGGCTACTTTTTGCCCAGGGCCAGCACCAGCATCAAGTTTACTGTGACAGGGAACTATGGGAAAATAGTTAGCTAAAAAACAATCATCAGACTGGACAGTGAAAGAGTAGCTGTAGGTTATGAGGTCTTCTCCCTACTCCCTCTGCTCTCTCCTATCATCACATTCCTTGTCAGCACATTTGCATGCAACACACCTAATTAGCTCCCAGCCTTGCTCGTCCCCCTCTCCTAGTCTGAGTGCCATGTCAGATGAACTATTTTGTAGCAGAGTTTATTCATGGCTATAAATCGCTAATGGCAGCATCTGACAGCGACTAGCTGTACCTGCCATTTGTCTCTAAGAAGCAATTTTGTTGCGGCTACAAATTAAATTAGTGCTACAGCTCTGCTACACATCGCTCCCCTTCAGCAGTCTGTAGCTCGGCCATAGAGATGTATTGTTGCTGGTGATGGTTTTTTGCATAAAGCTGCATTTAATCTGAACTCCGGGAAAAAAGTTTATTTTGGAAACCGCACAAGTTAGATAAGTTAGGCCTAATAATACGTTTTCAGTAGGTGTGGATGACTGCTGCTTAGTATGAAAATTTGTACCTTGCTACAAGCCATCTCCTACACAGTGCTGCGGGAATGAGAAGCTGCAACAGTGACGAGTCCAGTCGCATCATCTTCCCCCTCCTTGAACATTTCACAAAAAGCCTTGTATTTTTTCACAGAATACAAGGTGTTCTGTGAATGGAGGAGGGAAGATCATGTTGCAAACCCGCCCCTCCTCTATTCACAGAGCGCATTGCATTTGGTGAAAGAATACTAGGCTTGTTTTGAATGGACAAGGAGGGAAAGGACCAGGCAGGGATGTGACTGGAGCCCTTTAGAACTTTTGCAAAATATCTGGAAGCCACACTGCCTCATCAAGGCCCCTCTGTGTATTGTGGTCCTAACTCTAATCTATGAGTCCATCTTGGAGCATCTATAGCAGTATGGGTGCAGGTATGCCTGGACGTAGCACATTCCACCTTAAAAGCACAGGGACACACCAGATGCCCAAAACATCACTATTTTGTTTTGTTGAAGCCCTTCACTGTCACAGCTTCTCATCCCCGCAGCACCTGGACATACAGAGCCCTGTGTAGGAGCCGGGTATAGCAAGGCATGATTTTTATACTAAGCAGCAGTCAGCTGCTCCTACTATATTAGGCCCTAAGGTGCCCATGCACTTTACAACCCTCGCAAGACTTTTTAAAGTAATTTAAAAAACGTACGATCTGCCCATCTTGGACAGGCAGATCGTACCTGCGATCATCGCAAGCCCGCCCCCCTGAGGGGCGGGCTTCCGATGACTGCAATGCTGAACGGGCAGTGTGTGCATGCGCACACCGGCCCGTTCGGCAGTGATCTCTTGATCATGTTAAAAAACAGCCGAAAATCGTACGATTCTCGGCTGGTTTTCCAACATGCTCGATATACAAAAGTCGTGCGACCGTACAATAGAAATGGTCGCACGCCTTCCATACACTGCACGATTCTCGTACGATCGCGGGATTTCCCGCGATTCTCCTACGAGAATCGTGCAGTGTATGGGCACCTTTAGACTTGCTTAACTTGTGCTGTTTCTAAAATAAAAATGTTTCCCAGAGTTTAGATTGAGAGTTTGTTCACACCCTGGCTGGACCAGATCCGGATGGGTTTTCGCAAATGCGGTGTGTTTTTGACTTGTATTTGATGCGTTCCATTGCGGTTTGTTTTTTATTTTCAGGGTTTTTTTAAGCCTGAATGGTCTTTCAGATGCATTTGCTTTTTTTTTTTATGCGTCTTGGTGGGTCCAGGCCAGAAAAAAACATGCACACAGTAACCGCACTGGTGTAAACAGAGCCCAGAAATACAATAGGAATACATGGGGATGCATTTTAGGTGCGGACAAAGAAAAAAACATTCTGGTCCGGACATAGTGTGAACAAGCCCTCAGTGTGTGTTCCCTATATGCCTAGAATTCAGCTTTAAAGTTAATGCCAAAAATGTTCTTTTTTTTTTTTTTTTTTTTTTATTGCGGGCTCTATTAGAAAGTGTAACAGGAGTTACAGGGCTGACAGGGGCTCTAGCCTTATCCTTAGCTACTTAAAAGCATTTGTATTTATGTCATTATTAGAGAGTTCCCTTCTCAAAGTTGTCGGTAGAACAGGAAGTGAAGGGAAATCTCTCTGTTGGAGGTGGCGGTAAACACTGGCAGTTCTAAGCCAGAATCCCGCCCCCATGCAAAATTAGGAAATCAAGCTTTGGCTGGACGAACACTATTAAATGTTTTCTTTTGAAGTCATCCATGTAATTTGTCCTTTTTATCCACGTGAGGAACTACTGTAGTGAGGAAATCTATACAAATCTTTACTATAGATCCCATACCATGTACATGTACAATTCTTGTTGCACTATCTCTGATTAAGGAACAAATAATAATCATAACCTTTTTTTATTTAATACTTGTATACATGAGAAATATATATATGCAAATATTTACCTTGAATGGATGGACTATTGGCTGATGAAAAAATGATGATGTATTTGTGTTTTTGTAGTTTTATGAAATCTTTGGAACATGACCTATTCCATGTGTGTGGGCCACATGATCTTCCTCTATATAGGGACTATGCTGGTTTATGAAATGTAAATACAACCGGAACAAGGCCCTAGTCACTAGTGGATATACTTTTATTCTCCATATGTCGTGCCAAGCAAATTGATGTTTTATTTTTTACAAGAGACTGAATGTGATTACATTATGTTTTTATCTGTGTAGCTGAATGCTACTTGGGACAACAGAAAGGGCTTTTTGTCCACAACGCTCCATTGAAGGTCATTATACTGTGTTTAACATTCAGCTTTAACAAGTGATGTTATACTGTACCAGGGACAATTTAGAAGAATAAGACTGAAAAATTGAGAGAGACTACAGGCACCCAAAATGTGATACTGGCATCATTGCTGGTTATGTCTGCTGCTATAATGAAGCCAAGCAAGGGTGTCTTACATAAAATCTGTATTGTGATGAAGACTTTGGATCTATCCTGTTCAATCCTTTTTCAGCAATCTGTCAGCTAGGGTCCTCTCTAGTTGAAGAGGTTCTAATTTCTTGTCTTGGGGCCACTTTTACTTTGTTGCATTTTCTGTTATGTAAATGAAAAAGAGTTAATTGGTCAGGGGTAACACCCCATGTCAATACAAGAAGGCATATGCCCCAAAAGCAAAACATGTGGTATATTGTAAAGAAACTAAGAAGGGAGCAAAAGTATAATTTGTTTAGTGACCAGTTTTGAAGAAAAACTCTGGGCAAAGGTTTTATTAACCCTTGCAGGGGGCTACCCCCGCAATGGAATAGTTAACGCGTTTAGGTCTAGGGAGGAAAAAAAAGTCATGCTCACTCCTTACTCAGAACTGGCTTGCTCTTTGACCGGTCCTCGCTACCCCTCCACTGCAGCGGTCCTCCTTAGACCAAAACAAGCACTTAACCTATGCTGCACAGGGGTAGCCCCACTGCACGGGATACTAAATGTTTTGCCTGGAGTTCTTTAATCCTTTGTAAATATCATATTATTGTTTTTTTGTAATAAGGAACTCCCCCCTCAAGTTCTTTCGTTTGCTTGTAAAGTCCAGTTAAAAATATAATAAGCACAGCTCGTGCATCTATGTGAGACGCAGTGTGCTTTTTCCCATAACATACCATACAGATCTCTGGCTGGGAATATTAACCCTTTGGAACGGCTCCCGATGGCCCTTTAAAGGGCTCTAAACAATGGGAGATGGAGAAAGGCTTCCCAATCATGCGATCATTGTGATTGGCTAACACAGTAGACACATGATTGGAAGCCCTTACCACCTGCTACTGATCGTAAAAGTGACCGGGAGCCATCTGTAACAGCTAGGTCAATGTGTAATGGATGTGGTTAAGCATGATTATGACAAAATGCCTATCTGAATAGATCAATTGTAATATATATGTGTTAATTTGCTTTTTGCTCGTTTGCCTTCCTCAAAACCTTACTCAGAAATTGGTGCTAAGCCCCCCCCCAACCTGTTAAATAAAAACCCTGAAAAGGAGAACATTAAAGCGGAAGTATCTGATACACTGAACAACTGGTCTCAGCGTGGTATTTTCTCTCGGAGTGTACACTCTATATA